CCTGCTCGGACAAGGCTGTCGGAGGCAGGAGCAGAGGTAGAAGCTGCCTCCCTGCTGCTGGATCCAGCTGAAGTCATTTTTATAGCACAGGGACGTACCCCAGGGGCACAGCCCTGTTCCCCCGCCCCTGCCGTGTCCCACCTCCCTGCTTGTGAGCAAACCCGGCTGTTTACGTGCGCCCCCGGCCCCCTCCCTTGCGCTCCCACGTGCTCCAGCACCCTCCCGCCGCAGCCACCCCTTCCCCCCACTCGGAGATGGGTGGGCGCGTGGGTGCGCGGCGTCGCCCACGTCTGAGCGCGGAGTCTTTTAGCTACACCGCACGTGCAAGCAAGGTCGCAGGAAAGGGGGGGCTGCGGGCAGAGGTTTGTGCGTTGCGGGGGCAGAGGGGGTGTATGAGGTGAGGAGGAGACCCTTCTGTCTCTGACAAGGCAGCTGTACGTTTTCACTGTGGTTGCCTAAGGAGACAGCGCTGAGGGGACACAGCTTTGCCAGTTCTCCAGCTCACCCCTCCTGCCTCCTCGGCTCTTCACCCGGCTTTAGCCAAACCCGCTGGAAAGGCAGCAGGCTCAGAGGTCAGGAATTGCTATGAGCCTGGGGAAAGTGGTCTGGGCAGAGGAAAGACAAGTGATGCCTCCATCCATTGCAGTAGGAGCTCACTTCTTACTGAACAGCAGAGCCCACCCGTGAGAGCTGTGTTAGAGCTGTCCTGACCGAGCTTTGGTCGGCTGTTGTGGCAGACTCCAGTGACCTACTCCTCAGCAAGGGTCCTCACCGGTGGGTGGCCCTGTATGACACGGAGGGTGAGTCTCTATTCCTATCCATCGGGTTCAAAACCAGCCAGCACCACGACCCAACTCCACTGGAAATGAGTTTAAATGAGTTCCAGGGCTCACTGAACTGAACACATCGCGTGCTGGGAGAGAGGAGGTGGCTTTTCCTCACTGCTTCCACGGGCGATGCGCTCGCTCCCTCATTCTCGTCCATATGTGGCATCTCTCTTGGATGGAGAAGGGGTGGCACCCTCTGCCACGTCAGCACCTCCTCGTTGGCACCCTCTTGGCTGACAGTGCGAAGCACCAAGACTATCCTCTTCCTTCCCCTCATCCCCACTTACTGCGGGAAGGGCCACCCCCAGTGTCTTTTTCCGCAGAGTCCCATCTCCTCACGCGCCAAAGGGCAGCGTTTGCACACACACGGCGCTGGGGGAGAGATGCTTTTCACTCAGAATCGCTCCGTGTGCCTGCTGAGGAAGGGCTGACAACGCTGACTTCAGACACAGCGTTCGGGTAGGATGCAGCTATGGTCTTCAGCTGGTGGATAACTCGGAATTAAAGTGCTGGGCAGTATGAGGGGCAGCATCCACAACTTCCATCTGCTCCAAGGCTAGATTTCCAGTGTCTGTGGTCCTGCCTGCTGCGTTGCTGGTGGGAGGCAGGGATCTGGGAGCAAAAGGAAGGCAGGAGACTGTGGGCTAGCAGGACATAGCAGGACACGGGCTGCTATCGCTTTCTGTGTAGACAGCAGAGGTGCACTCGCACACATGGATATTTTCAGGCATGGCGGTTGTGATGGTGAACTTGGGCCCTGCAGCTGGTGTAAGGCTGTAAAGGGAGAGGGAGGTTGTTTCACAGGCACTGTACCTGCATCCCGTGCTGGACCTTGTCTGTCCTGTGTTCCCCCAGGCATCCTTGTAGTGTTTGGAATTGCACAGTGGGCATTGCCCTGTGGACCAGGGATGAGTTCACGTGGTCCCTGGCCTTCTTACCTCTGTTGTGGGAATGGCTCGGCAGCCTTGAGCCAGTAAGTGTCCCCATGAGACCCACACAGAGGTCTCCTGCCACCCACCCACTGCCACCCTGTTACTGCCCTGTCAGCCACCGATGGTCCTGCGTAACGCCAAAAAAAAGACAGGCAGAGCTGGTGTCTTCCCACCCTCAAGTTTAGTTGCTTGGGACAGGAAGATATCTAGAAGAGGTATCTCTGGGAGATAAGTACACGGAGAAGAGTGAGAAGCTGATTTCCATAGCTAAGCTGGCTACATCAGCTCATTTTCAAAGGGCTGTGGACCAGACTTAGTTTGTGTAAAACGGATCTACGTGCAGATGTCCTTGCTAATAAAGATGCTTGGCAGAGTCATTTGAGCTACACAGCTTGCGTGTCCACCTGTAAACACGGCAGTGCTTCTCCTCCTCCCTGGAAACAATGTCCTTAGCCTCAGCTTCCGCGGTGGTTCCAGGATACTCCTTGTTCCGAAGGGAAGGGAAAGTGTGGCTGAGGTTTTGGTGCCAGCACACAGTGCTCTGTTTGGATCGCAGACCTGCTGGTGCTCCTCTCCATCCAGCCATGTGTGGGAAGTTCTCTGTCTCATTCCCAGGGGTTTCCCAAGGGGGCAGGAGTGTAGGCAAGAGGGGCTTGCCCTATTTTGCCTCAGACGCCACACCCTAGGCTGAGGAGGAAGGAAGCCCCAGGTTCAGAAGGAGGCGTGTGGAAGAAGGGAATAAGGGGCAGTCATCTTTTAAAGGCCACCAGCTGTCCCCAGTTACCCCTCCTTGGTCAGCCTCCCCTGCTTTCTCCAGAGGTACTGGACTTCAGAGCAAGGAAGCGGCAGTTGCTGGCTGGCTGGAGAAGACCGATGAGCTTGTCCTGCAGTGTTATGTTCCTGCCAGCTGCACCTTGCACAGGCTGCGTCTGCGGGACCTCTTGGATAGAAACCAGGAGTAAGCAGCAGGAGAGGATGTTGCTGCTGGGCCCACCTGAAGAGACATGGTCCTGAAGATCCGGGAGTCGATGACAGAGGAGCTACTGTGCTAATGGACAACAGTGACACAAGGTGGAGGAAGGGAAAATCTCCTCAATAGAAAACCCAGAAGGGCTGGAGGTTCAGGGGAGCAGGAGGTCTGAAAGACCAGCTTTGCTTTACAAAGAAGCTGTTCCCGGGGTTGGGGCCTCCTTCCCTGAGGGTTTACTCAAGACCAGAACAGATGCGTGTTCCCGGTAGTCGGGGGTGAGATACACTATCAGCAGGCAGTAGACAGAAGAACCAAGCTGTGGTTGCTGTAACCCACCAAATAAAAAATAAAAAGGAGAGGAAACAACAGCAGAGAAACATAAACGCGAAAGAGTGCGATACAGGTTGCCACCAAGTGCACTCCACTGACACCTCACCTCCCGAAAGGTAGCGTGCCCCAAAAGTTTCATGTGCTGTGGTCAGCAGCCAGCTCCTGAGCTCAAAGCTCAAAACGTGGCCTAGTTCCTGGAAACAGCAATGCTGGGAGTGCAAGGAGGTGATGGAGGAGAAAGCCGCGGTGCTCTAGTCCATCTTCCATACCTTTGCCTCTGGCCAGCTCCTGCTCTTGACTTGCTCCTGGCTGACACTGGAAGCGTTGATTTCTGGGGAAATGGGCTCATAGGAACGGAGAGACAAGTTTGCAGCGAGCAGACCCATCCGGACACAGGTATCCGTGTCGTGTTCCGCAAGCATCCCGGCAAGGATGCCTGCCATTAAGCTGTGGAGAGAGAAAGGCAGTTCTGAACACCAGGGAACAGCTCTGGAATGCGGCTGTTGGTCTGTAAGAGCATCCATCTGGACCCAAACCAACGCGTGCACAAGCAGAGTATGTCACACAGGAGGGGTGAGGTTACAATGGAAAGGTTTCGCTTCTTTGTATTTACATTTAGATTTGGATTAACAAATAGTGCTATTTATTCCCTTTTTTTTGCTTCTCATCTGAGAAGTTGAGGTACTTTCCCATTCCACCACATTTTCTGTTCTCAACAGTTTTCCAGGTGGGGCAGGAGAAAAGAAGGGAGTCTAAGGAACCAATTTCTCCCTTGCTCTCTAATTATTTTGTTGTTTCTCTGCTCCTTGTTGGTACCTCGTTACGGTCCCTCCTGTCCCCAAAGCTGTGGATGGGAAGAGAGGTAAAGTTTCCACAGGTATGTGAGAGGGGCACCAGACACAGCTGGAAAAAGAAATCCAAAGCTGAAATGAGATTGTAGATTCAGATTTTTGTAAGCTTTCCCTGTGGTTTTCCATTCGAGATTTCCCAGTAAAAACAATGTGGGTGCTTGGAACAACAGCGATCATCACAAGGCATCAGGAGAAAGGGGTGACTTTGCGCTCTGCCTGGCTTGCAGAGGAAGGCTCTGTCGAGGGTTGGATACGTGCAGGGTGGTGTTTGTGATTAACTGGAAGCAACTACGGTTGATTCATTGCTAGACACTAAGGATGCTCAGAAGCTAGGAAAAGACAAAGGAGAAGTGAAAGAGAAGGAAGAAGATAATGACATCTGAGAGGAAAAAGTAAGGACAGGAAAATGTGACAGCAGGGAGGATTAAGATTTACTCACTCTATGGGGAAAGGAAAAAGATCATGCTTTTTTTGTGTGCTCTGACTAATTACCTCAACATCTCTTTATCCATAACAAAGGCACAGGAGATTATGATTCCCATAAACCGTTCAATCTTTCAACAGCTCCAGAGGTTCAGGGTAAATATTTGGGGGAACATCCCCTAGCAATGCCATGTGCAGGCATGTGGTGTTATGCTGTCACGGCAGCCAGGCACAAGGAGACAACAGCCAGGGCTGCCGGCATGCATGGATCCTTGGGCAGCATCTCCGGAGCTGCAGGAGAGCCGCAGGGCTGAAGCAAGACATGAGGTGCCCTGGATCGCCGTTTCTGGGTGCTCCAGGTCGCTCCAAGTCCCTTGACCAGTGCTTCAAAAGTGCGAGGGGGCTGAGCAACGAACGTGCGATAACCCCAGGTTATAGCCTGCTGCAGTCTCCCTTGGAAGTGTCAGCAGGCTGGGCTTGGGTAACCTTACCACCGAGGAATGGGATTTCCAGACCGATATCACTTCAGGAATGGGAGCAGCAATGTGCCCTGAGCTTTCAGACAGCTTTGGAAGGGAAACCAAACTTTACATACTCCTGAGTAACTCGGTGGAGGTGTTTGGCAGCGGTGCCAAACTTCATCTCACCTTTGGTCACCCCTTAAATTAAGTTTTTATAAGGGGGAAGGAAGCCCTACAGAAGATGTTTAGTTTACATCATCCTCTAGAAGAAGTTGTCCTGCGGTAAGGGGTAGCTGCGTACCGAGCAGTGGGTACAGAGAGGAGGCTGTGTGCCCGGAGGGGCTGGCAGAGGCTGGGCACATCTGCCAGAAGCAGTGAGCAAAGCTGAGCTTTCCTTGGAAGAGGCTGACCCATGGGGTTCCTCCCAGCCCTCATCCCTCTGCTGTTACACCGACTGCTCTGGACAACACTTGGGTCATCCTGGGAGAAGACCAGCTTGCAGCTGAGACAGCATGTCCCAGAGGTGATCTGGGACACAAGGAGAGTGTCCTGGTGGGTTAACCTCACAAGAAGTTACCGATGGATCCTAAATCAAGGACTGAGGATGCCGTAAGTTAAAAAAAAAAAAGACTTTTCATTCTGCCCACTCATAAAATAAAAAAGAAGTGTTGCTATGCTGAGTTACTGGTAGGTGAGAGTAGGAAAGTAAAAAGAAGTATCTGTCACAAGCAGCCTTTTAGTCTAGCCCCAGGCAGTGAAAGGAGAGAATCAATTATTGGTGCATACGAAGCAAGAAGAGAAAAAACCCCTGACTACTACATAGATTACTCTGACAGACTGAGAGTTGATAGCTGGGGTAGGAATAATACCTGTCATTCCCTGCTCCTATGTACGGCGTTGCGTGAACAGCCAGGAGAATTATACAGCAGACTCTTTTGAAGCATGAGCTATTGCCAGAGGCATATGCAGAACCTGATGAAATGCTTTTATAGGGTGATTTTTAGCTCCTGAGTGGTAGGAGAAGTGTGGAAGAAAAGCAGTTAGTTAGTAAGACAGTTTTGATGTGAGGCGGCTCAGCCCAGACTAACTCAGAACTACTAGATGGCCACGCAAGGCTTGGATCTTGAAGAAAAGCGAAACCAATCATGGCAAGACTGGCTTTCAAGATGCTTAGGGGCACATTTTTAGCAAGGAACCACAGTAGCCGGTGCTGTTCTTCGGTCCTTAGTGTCCTGTTCTTCAAGCAGCAGAATGTCATTTGCCTTCGCAGTAGAATTTCAAAGAAATCCGACTCCGGCCTTTCCATATTTAGCTGGAGAAGGCAGAGTGGTGAGCAATATACCTGTCGCCGGCTCCTGAGACGTTGACTATCTCCTCCCGGCTGATGTGGATGGCGGGGTAGTGGCTGGCACAGAGGCCGTCCGCGGCAGGCTGCTGGAGGAGAGAAGGGAGGTTGGTGGGCATTGCCCAAGCTGGTAGGGCTTGGTGTGGCTGATGCCACCCAGACCTGCATGGCTGCCACAGAAAGAAAAGGGGATTAAAAAAAGGCAATAATCTTTTTTCACACTTTGAAAGAGATCAGCAATTCAAATGAAGCTTCCTGCAAATGAAGCTTGCGCTCATGAATATTCACGGTAAGGATATTTAAAAGTAGCAGACTGTAAACACTGCTGCTAGGAGCCAGCAGCATAGGACAGGCAACTTGATTTTCCTCCAGAGCTGTGTATTCCACCCCCCAAACGCGTACATTTGCCAACAGCAACGCCATGTTTCCCAGGACTGCTGCCGTGCTGCCAGAAATAGCAACGGTGCGATCTGGTCCAAGAAAGAAGGAACTGAGGGCTCAGCGTGAGTTTGCCGTGCCCTTACCTGTCCGTCAGCTCCTGGACGAAGCGAGATGGTCCCTCCCAGGCTCCGGCCACACAGGAGGACACCGTCAGCGCCGAGGGTCACCACCACACAGCACAGGTGGGCCAGCAACGGGCGGGCCAAGGCCACTGCAGTCTGGACAACATCCTCCAACCTGGATGGCAGCTCTTCAGAGAGCGGGGAGGAAAAACTGTGGTATAAGTGAAAAGGTTCTTTGCGGGGGGGCGGCCTATTTATGAGCACTACTGCTACTGTTTATGAGTGCTTCTGAAATGTGGTTGGTATAAATTTTCCTCTTTAAATCATGGGAAACATGTAATTCTCTAGTATTAGACTTTCATACAATACTTCTAACCTGTGCTGAGGAAACCACCCCTCATGGGATTAAATATATGCCTGTACAGACCAGAAAAGAAGCCCTGAATCATCGCTTCCTTGTCTTAATGCTGTTGGATTTCCACCCGCACGTGGCGGGGTATTTCATTTCTGCAAAGGGTGCTGGGACAGGTGTCCTCACGCTTCAGAGCATCACGCTTCAGAGGCATGTTTACAAACCAGAGATTGTTCCTGATTAGCTAATGAAGTGGGGCAAACAGGATCTCTGGTTTTGGACAAGGAGCCATCCCAGGCCTAAAGTGCTCTTTGACAGATCATCTGTCTGGCCTGGGCCATACAACCCACGCAGAGGTGGCTGTAAGGTGGAAAACACCAAGAGCGCTTATGAATCCCCACTGCGTTATAACCCAATTTACTTGAAATGGGGTCTGGAGCAGAAAATGCTCCTCTCCAGGATCTAGGTTGTCTAAAAGTGTGACTGACCCCTTCTGAGTGTTCAATACCTGCTGGCAGAGGGTTCCCGAGGGTCCGATTTATTGCTCTTAGCTCTTGCAGGTTGGGGGAAATGTATGTGAGCGCTTTCCAGCTGTCTGAGAGGAATGGCTTAGAGGCCTTGTTCTCATCTGTTGGCTCATAGCACACTTCAAAACAACATTGCAATTGGTTAGTTAACTAATTAATTAGTGTTCCATCCCTACGTCAGAGCAGGATGCAGTGTAGAAGGCTTAGCGTGATCTGCACAACTGGGGTCACGTGTGTGACCCATTAGATACCGAAATACTATTATTTGCGCCACGCTGGGGACAAGGTCTGCCAAGGTTTCCTTTCCCGTGCTCAGCAACGATGCTGTTGCTTCTGGCTCTGGAGCGATATAACCAGGCTTCAGGCTTGTTACCCCTCTTAGCTGGTTTTGGAGCTTCTGCCAGGTTTTAAGAACATTGCCTCCTTCTTCAGGATTTGTTCTTCCAAGTGAAGGCGTAAGTCCAAAGGTTTAGGAAGCCTTGTGAAGGGTCCCCAGTGTACCAAGGGAAGGGGTTACGTATTTTATGGGAAGTGGGAGAGAAATCCTTTCAAAAGACGTTCTGGCACTTATTCTGAGAAGCAAACCATGTTGCTGCTCAAACTGGCAGAAGCGCACACATTTGTGCTTGCCTTGAGACTAAAGGCCAAGAGAGCAGCTTTCCCTGGCTTTCTGGCAGTGCCCATGGGCTACGGCACCTACAAGTGGGAAATGTGATTTAGCTGCAGAATGAGAAAAACTCAAGGGAAAGCTGAAACATGTCATCCATTTGCAATAGAGTAGTAGTGTATAGAAAGGAGCAGGGTATAGAAAGGAGCAGTGTAAAGAAGGAGCACTGAATAACACACGGAGCGTGTCAGGCAATACGTGGATATCTCAAGCAAGCCGCAGTGGAGAGCGCTCGGGGTGTGCGGAGCGTCTTGGCACTCACAGGCTGTTAGGAGCTCCAGGGCCAGGGCTGGGCGAGCTTTCCTTACCTGCTAGCTGATGCTCTCTAGCTAGTTGGCAGACATACTGGATAGTGGAAAGAGGCACGTTTCCATCAATGCAAACCAGCGGGGCCTGGCACAGGATCTCCTTGAACTGGGACACCTGGTGAAAATCCAGGACACGGAGACAGCTTGAGTCATTGCAGAGGGACAATGAGTGCTCTTCAGACTCATTTTCACTCACATTACAGCCCTGAGGTGCAGGCGTGGACCTAAAAGAGTGATTCCCTAAGGAAAACTAATTTTTCCATTTCTCTCATCCTTCCCTTCTTCTCCTTCCTCTGTTCCCTGCCTTCAAGAGCTGGGCTCAACTGGCAGAGCCTCTCCAGCAGATGAAAGCAGTTGCTGGTCCTCGCTAGACTAGTTTGGTACCCGGGGGTCAGTCAGAGACCTAGAGGGAAAGGGAATGCTGCTATTTGATGTCACTGGAGGATTCCCTCTGCTATGCCTGGCTTGACTAGGCTGCAGATCATTTAGATGCCGCCTGTGCACCTCCTGAGACAGGCTGCTCATCG